GAAACACACAGGAAGCTTAGTTAACAAATAACAAACTGTCCCCGCCAATGCACCCCAGGAATAAGGGAGACCAGGGCCCTACAGTCAGTATTTTTCATGTCCCTTTTTCACAGGAAAGAAAAATTCACCTTATGGGTCTGGCTAAGACACTTCTGCCTCCAATGCTATGAAGATCAGGGTATTGTTAAGTTTTTTTTTTTTTTGGCCCGGTAAGCCTCTCCGCCAATACAATAATTCAAATTAGACCTAACAAACCAAATTAGAAGAAACCCAGGTTTAATGGATGCCAGCACACCCAGGCAGCTCCAGGAGAATACATGGAGAGGGAAAAGGGGAGACTGTGTTTGTTCAGGGGGGGGGGGATAGTTTAAATAGCCCGTGGGAGTGGTCCTGACCCTCCCTGGGGAGGGGGTCACCTTTTGGCAGTCTTTTTCAGGGGTGGAGTTTGGACTGAGGCAACTCCCCTGGGGAGGGACCTCCAGCCAAACATTCCAGACTCCTTGTATATATGGATGCCAGGGGGCTAGGGTAAAACTTCCAACAAAACAGTACAGAGTTTTTGGATAAAGGGACACTGGCTCAAGTCTGGCTACTTGTAGGCCCATATTTCTTTATGGCGTGGCAGCCAGGCCCTGGAGCCATAGGCCCCACCTGAGGTGGTCACTAGCCCTGCAGACAGGCTGTCACTACCTAACAAAGGGTCAGGAAGTTGTTGCTCCTTTCTTTGTAATTTGGAGGATGCCTTATAGACATGCTGATTCAAGCCTACACAACAACTAGCAGATACAGCAGACAGGTAGATGCAGACGTGACAAAACGCCATTCACCTGGTTACCTAGGAGACAGGTCTGGTGTATCCCCCCCCCCCCTCCGCTCAGTTTATGTGTTGGTATAAAAGCTGTTTGGATAATAAACATGGGCAGATCATCAGGAGAGAAGAACCCTGAGATGCCCTTCCATCGTGACCGTGTAAGCCATGTCTAGTTGTTCCTTGAGTCTCTGTACCAGTCCAGTTAGGGAAAATAGTTATCTATGTTGGAGCCCACCCACAGGCTCTAACATAATGGCGCCCAGCAACATGGTACTGACCACTGAACCCCCAGATGAATGCCGGATGAAGATCAAGAAGTATGAGAAAGAACGTGGTGCTGACCGCTGAACTCCATGAAAAGCTGGAAAAAGGAAAAGACGAGAGAGATCATGAATGCTGACCGCTGAACCCCAAGAGAAAGGAGAAAGGATGGAGGAGAATGTGAGGCAGATCTGCGCACCCCAAAAAGCAAGGAAGAAGTGACCAGACTTGAGGAACCCGCGAGAAAAAAATTGGTGGATGTGTGAGTAATGTGCGCTTAGATAACAAAACGGGACAGTAATATCGGAAGAAAAACTTGTAAATATAGAAATATGGGACAAGGAGAAAGCAATCGGATGGCTATGCAGTTGATTGAAGATATTTTAAAAGACAGAGGAGAGTACAGCAGCAGCAGATACAGATACAGAAACAATGGCAGAGTTATTGAGAATCTATAAGCGTGATAGACGCAGAATCGCAACTTTTATTGATTGCTAAATGAGTAGGAAAGGTGAAGGAAAAATGACTTTTGGCACAAGAATCACCAAGTTACCGCTGAGATTGAGTAGCCAGGTGCACGCAGTAGCCAGCTAATCTAACTCACCTGCGGGAAAAGGCAAGCAGGAGCAAGAGTAAGTTTAGAGAGCAAATTTAACATCACACAGTCTATAGAACAGAGGAGAGGATTCAGAGATTCTCCCAATTTTATGATTTACAAGTTAAAATAGAAAACATAGTTAAAAATCTGCCCGCCAGAGCTGTGGAAGGCAGTCTAACAGAAGGAGAGAGTATGTGTCCTACCCCCTGCCATGCGGCGCATCTTCAAGACAGGTTTAAATTAAGGTAGCCTCTGAGATAAGCAGGTTAAAATGCTTCTTTTCCATTTCACAATTTTGCTTCTTTGTCAAAAGTCTGCTGTTTGTAGGCAGGTGAATTCGTATCCAAGGTGGATTGATTACAGTACTGTGGCTCTGTAGTAAAGTTTAAAGTTAGAGATTGTAATGTATTCAGAAGTTCCTTGATTGTCCAGGATTTTAAGATTGTTTAGGCAATCCTGAGTTTTTGTCTTTTCTTATAAGGTGGAGGATTGTTTTTTCGAAGTCCGTGAAGAATTTTGTTATAAGTTTAATGGGCATTTGCATTAGGTCTGTAGATTGCTTTCAATAACATGGTCAATTTTGCTGTGTTGGCGCTGTTTTTACAAGAGAATAGGAGATCTTTCCATTTTCTGATGGCTTAGATTTCTTTCTTCAAAGATTTAAAGTTCTTATTATAGAGGTTTTTCAATTTGTGTGATTAGAGTTACTCAAAGATATTTGTGGTATTTATGGCTATCTTATTCATTGTGTGTGTAGAAGAGATATATTTGGGTTGTTTTCAGATTCTGTGTATGATAAAGTGATTCTGCTGTGAACATAGTTGAGCAAGTGTCCTTGTGGTATGGTTGAGCATCTTTTGTACATAGACCCAGAAGAGGTATAGCTGAGTTTTAAAGTAGTTTGTTACCTAATTTTCTGAGAATTTGCCATACTGGGATCTAAAGTGGCTGTACCAGTTTACACTTCCAGCAATGGAGGAGTTTTCTTCTTTACCCCACATTCTCTTAAGCATAAGTTGTGAGCAGTGTTTTTAATCTTGGTCATTTTTGCAGGGATAAGCTGGAGTCTCAGAGTTGTTCTGGTTTACATTTCTCCAATGGTTAAGGATGTTATATTTGAGCATTTTTTGAATGTCTTTCAGTCATTTTAAGTTCATCTATTGAGAGTTTTCAGTTTAGGTCTGTTGCATATATTTTTATTGGATTAATTGTTCTTTTGGTGACTAATTTCCTGAGTTCCTTGTATGTTTTTGAAGTGGATTAGTGATTGGTGAGGATATTTTCCCATTCTATAGGCTATTATGTCTTATTGACTATGTCCTTTGCTATACAGAAGCTTCTCAGTTTGTCAAACTTTTGACCATCTTGTATTAGCAACCATTGATGATTTTGTGTGTATATGTGTTTATGTGTGTATGTATTTGTTTGTGTGTGTGTGTGTACATGTGTAGTTGTGCGTAGTCCAGAGGACCACCTCGTGTGTTTCCTCAGAACTTGTCCACCTCATTTCACGAGACAGCGTTTTACCAGTTGGGGCAGGCTGGATTCGATCTCCATCTGCCTAATACTGGGATGGAAACATGCTACCATGCCCGGCCTTTATGTGGGTCCCAGGGATTGAACTCAGATCCTCCTTCTGAGTAGCAAGCGCCTTAAAGCTGAGCCACCGCCAGTAACCTGACGCCTCTTGCTCGAGTCAGCGGTAGTTCCTTCACAGACTTCTGTTTCCCTTCCCAGCACATTCCTGGTCCTCTGTCCTGTGGAGCATTCGAAGAACCAACAAAGGTCAGAGTGGCGGGACCACAAGGATCAAAGAGGAAAGTGGCCCCAGACATGAGGTGCAGAACCATCCTCTGGCTTGGGAGTTGGGGGTGGAGCTGGAGGCAGAGAGGAAGGCAGTGAAGAAATGAGGGGTGGGGAGGTGGGAGCAGCTGCCCTCTGAGACAGAGGCAGGTCAGTCTCCTCTGAGACTGTAGGAGCTGAGCTGGAGCGCGGACAGCTGGGGAAGGCTTGCAGAGGTAAAGCAGGCATTTCTAAGCCTTTCTTTAGATGGCAGAGGCAGGAGCATCACCAGCTCCAGGCCAGTCTGGGCTGCGTAGGAAGCCCCTTTCTTACAAACCAGCAAACCAAAGCCCACTGTGAAGAGCCCCCCCTTCTCTCTCTTCTTCCTTCTCTCCCTCCCTTTTCCCTTCCTCCCTTCTTACCTGTCCTTC